AACAACAACAACAACAACAAAGGAGGAACACAGGGAAAACAAAACATGAGATATACAGAAAACAAAATATTAAATAGCAGAGGTAAATCTAACAATATCAGTAATAATATTAAGTGTGAACATAAATCAAACAATTTAATCAAAAGGCAGAGACAGACTGAGTGTGATAAAATGATCCATCTATATGCTATCTACTGAATACACTTTAGATTTAAAAATATAATAGATTGGCCGAGGCAGGTGGACTACCTGCGGCCAGGAGTTTGAGATCAGCCTGGCCAACATGGCAAAATCCCATCTCTACTAAAAATACAAAAAATTAGTCAGGTGTGGTGGCAGGCACCTGTAATCCCAGCTACTCTGGTGGCTCAGGCAGGAGAATGGCTTGAACCCAGGAGGTGGAGGCTGCAGTGAGCCAAGATCGTGCCACTGCACTCCAACCTGGGCAACAAGGGTGAAACTCTGCCTCAAAAAATACATATATATAAAATAATATATATATAACATTATATATATATTTTGAGATTGAAGGCAAAAAGACTGAAATAATATATTATGCAAACAGCAACCATAACAGAACTTGAATGACTGTAAAATATAAGACAACACAGACATTAAAACAAAAAATACTGCCAGAGGCAAAGAGAGAAATTTTATAATTATAAAAGAATTATAAACATATACACACCCACCTAACAATGGAGCCCTAAAATATATAAGGCAAAAACTGATGGATGTGGAGTGAGAAATACACAATTCAATAATAATAGTTCCACTTTCAATAATGGATAGAACAAGTGGCAGAAGATAGATAAGGAAACACAAAATCTGAATAACACTATAAATCAAGAAGACTACTGACATCTATAGAACACTCCACACAAAAACAGTTTAACACACAGTGTTTTCAAGTGAACACGGAAGATTATTCAGGATAGACAAAGTGTTGGGCCATGACACAAACCTCGATAGATTATTTATTTATTTAGTTGGTTTTCTTTTTTATTATATTTTAAGTTCTGGTGTACATGTGCAGATCGTGCAGGATTGTTACATAGGTATACACATGCCATGGTGGTTTGCTGCATCCATCCCCCCATCATCTACATTAGGTATTTCTCCTAAAGTTATCCCTCCCCAATCCCCCCACCCCAGATTTTTTAAAGGTTTAAATTGTATAAAGTATGTACTCTACCCACAATGAAAATAAATTAGAGATTAGTAACAGAAGGAAATTTAGGAAATTCAAAACCGTGTGAAAATTAAATATGATTATTTATTGATTACTTCTGAATAATCAATAGGGCAAAGAAGAAATCACAAGGGAAATTAGAAAATGTCTGGAGATAAATGTAAGAGAAAACACAATATATTAAAATTTGTGGTATGCAGCTAAAGCAATAAAGGAAATTTTAAAAATTTATTTAATAGAGGAAAATTTACAGCTACAGGCATTTAGATTTAAGTAAAAAAAAAACTTAAATACCATAACATTTCATTTTAAGAAACTGTAAAAGGGAAGAGAAAATTAAATCCAAAGCGAGCAGAATGAAGGAACTAATAAAGATCACAATGTAAATAAATGAAATAGAGAATAGAACAGCAGAGAAAAGCAAAAAAATCAAAAGTTGGTTCTTACAAAATATCAACGAAATTGGCATAATTGTAGCTTGACCCCATTGTCTTCAGAGAAATTAAATGATCACAGCATAGTTATAACTATTCTTAAAATGAGCATTTTACTTCTACTTTAATAAGCCATAGCGTTAATTTTTTGGCATTAATTTTTAAGGAGTCACATTTGTACTGGCTTTTATTAATTTGTCATCTATTGGAATATCTAGATCATTTTTCCCTTTGAATGTTAACCTCTGTTGCTTACTTGAGGATGAGCTATCTAAGCAAAAGTAAGTTTAAATATTGTATCTTTATTTAAAGCAAAAAAGAATCACATTTATGTATATTTATAGGTGAGTGTATATATATGCATACAAATACACATTGTGTGTATATACAATTATATATGTATTTCTGCTGTTAGCTATAATTATTAGTCATCTTAGTCCTCCAAAAGCTCCTTATCTCATACGCATGGGGAATCTTTCCTCAGGTTCCCCTACCCAGCCTCTTGTACTCTCCACTTTCGCAAATGCAACTGGGACCCAGTGCCCCCTTTCTTCTCAGTTGGCCTCAAAATCCCTGGATTATATCTGAAAACGTTAAACAAAATGCTTCCAGTCTGGAGAGAGCATGTACTGATTTTGAGAGGGACACATTAATTTAATGGTATAATTTATTTAGTTATTTAATTTATACAGAAGAGTACATACAGATTCGGTAATAATAGACCAAGCCATTACACCATAAGAAAATTCACTCAAGGAAATGATGAGTAGACTATTAAAAAAGTAGGGCTATGAAGAAAATGTCAATCCATATTAAAACAGCACATTACAGTCGGACGTTCCTCTCAGCATGTCTGAGTTTCAGCATTATATCATTTTAACGATGATATCATTTCAGGAAATAATATTTCACATGCTGTGCTTACAAGTATCAATCTGGATAAACCTCCCTTACTCAACAAATGCTGTGGTACTGAGCCAAGAAATATAGACAAGCACAGTAAAGAGATAATACTAATATGTAAGAATTTTGCTCAAAATCATTGGCCTTTCTACTGTGAGAGATTTTATTTTATAAGGCTGCATGCTTTATAAAATAAAAGAGCAAACCAAGATTCACTCACTTGTTTCTGAAGTAACCACCATAGCTAGCACACAAAGGTACATAATTCACTTCAGTAACAGACTAGAAAAGACCATTTATAGTAATGCATAAAACCAAAGTAATGCTACAAAACCAGAAAATAGATAAGTGTGTTAGAGGAGCCATCCTATGATCCTAGGGAACCAAAGCAAGCAGTGTAATAAAAATGCACAAACTCTACCAGGGGGAAAAAAAAAAAAAAAAAACAGCTGGGTACAGTGGCTCATACCTGTAATCCCAGCACTTTGGGAAGCTGAGGTAGGAGGATTGCTTGAACCTAGGAGTTTGAGACCAGCCTGGGCAACATAGCAAGACCCCATCTGTACAAAAATTTTTAAAAATTAGCTGAGTGTAATGGCATGCACCTATGGTCCCAGCTACTGAGGAGGCTGAGGAGGGAAGACAGCTTGAGCCCGGGAGGTCAAGGCTACAGTGAGCCATGATCGCACCACTGCACTCCAGCCTGGGTGACACAGTGAGACCCTGTCTCAGAAAAATAATTAAAAAGAACATTGAAATGCATTTGAAAGGAACCAGTATAAAATAATTTGATAGAGCAGTATAATAATCATATATTTAAATTAGGTTCACAAAACTCAGAAGAACGATTTGTTAGTCTTCAGAATTGGGTCACAAACTCATACTTATTACACAAGAAATGCAACTTTGAGCATAGCCTTTAGGGAGCTAAGGAGACTCCATTAAAGACCATAGCAAGGATTTATAAGAAAATAGGAAGACAGGAAAGAGAAAAGTAAAAGATTCTTATGATAGCGTTATTGTAAAATATTAATATATTTCAAGTACCTAAATTCATCATTTCAAATAATTTTTGAAGAAATAACTGTTTAGAAATCATAACTGACTTCAAACTCAGTAGCTTCCACTCATATTCCTTTTTTCTTCTTTTACTGTTCCAGGGTGAATCACTTATAATCACTGTAGCCAATATTTGTAGAGTGTCAGCTGGAAATTTTCTTTATGTCATTAACACTTTCAGTTGATTCCAATCTAAGTTTTTAGTAGCTGATATTATTATCAGAACATATTTAATTAATTCATTATGCCCACTGGTTGCTAAACTGTAATAGGGGAGAGGAACTCTAACAGCAATATACTAAAGATCAAAAAGATAATACCTGCTTCTTTTGAAACTATAGCTTATGAACTTCAGAATGGATCCTCATGTCAATTTCCTTCTCCTACTTCCAACAGAAAGTTGTGTGTTGTCTCAGATAAACCAAAGAAAAGACAGAGTTCTGGTGGTGCTTGGAATTTCAAAATAGGATTTATATACAACAAATTTTAAATTTAAATTACTCAGAGGGTTAACAATTCTTTTTTCACAAACACCCTTACTTTAGCAGGAGTCGTTGTTTTATATTAAACATGATATTTGAAAGCTGAGAACTCTTTTTCAGGAGATTTCCTTGTCATCCAAGGAAGAATATGTTTGGTATAGTTTCATATATTGTGTTTACATTAGGCAATTTCTACCATAGCAACAGGCTATTAAATATTTATATCAAGCAATTGGAATCTCATTTAATACAACAAATGTTCTTGAATATTACCAAAACAAAAATCTTTTCTTTGAAATTTTAACATAGAATGTAGATGTTTTCTCCTTCCTTTAGATAATGATGGTCCCGTTATACTTACCATATAATTGTCCCTTTAAATGTTCTGTAATTAATGGTACAAGGCAAGTATAGCATACGTTTAGTCAAACATGGAAATATTGTATTACATACTTCATTCCTGCTTCTCTCATGCTCCCTTCTCACATACTGCCCTCTACATATAACATGTGTTAAGTGCATATTACAGTAACACTCAGCTCTTTGTCAGCTCTTCTAGGTGAATAAAGTTAACGTGATGACCTCGTGCTAATAAGGTCATTGAGTCACCTAACAAAGATAAATTTTTCATGTTCATCAACATCTTATATAGCAAGGACAATTTTTTTGCATATTATTCTTTAAAATACTTATAAAAGAGTATTTTATTTTAAATTATTAATTTTTAACCAGTCCTTAATGTCTTAAACTAGATGAATGAAACTGAAGGCTTTAAAGAATCCAACTAAAGTGAATATATAGCATGAAATTATAGCAGAATATCAGTGTGCTAGTGATTAAACAAAACCTGAATCAGAGCACTTTCCTACATCACTATAGTCATGCTGAATAGTGACTACAGAAAATGAGAAACTGTCTACATCATATGAATACTATTCATGACAAGCCTTTTTTTATTAAAATGGCAAGAATACAAATAGCTTATATCAGTAAAATACAGTAGTATTCAGGCTTTAATATGAACATTACATCAAAGCCTATGGATAGGTAAGGTAAAAGATTTAGGAAATTGGGGGAGGAAAGAAACATCACTTGTCTTGTTACTCCAGATTACAGACAGCTGCCACAGACAATAAAATAAAATGGCAATTAAGTTGATTGCAGTACTTTAAGGAAAACTTATTAAAAATACAGATTAAAAAAAAATCTTACATTCTTGACAGGTATATCATCACCTACCTTTCTAAAAACAGTAGTAGTAAACACAGTTGTAGAAAATGTATGTTACTTAGTCTTTGAGTGGTACAATGCTACAGATTTTAAAACCCTGGCAGCACTCCTACTTTCTGCTGCTTCAACATCAGATTATGGCATGGAACTTATGTAAGGTTGGTTCCAAATGGAATATCAGGTCCCAGGCCAGTATCAATAAATTGTACCCATTTTGGCACAAATTTTCTAGCCATGAAAGCACAAATCACAAAGAAAAATATTAACCAACCAATTATTTGAGATACCAAGAAAGGAAAGGAAATCAGTTTTGTAAAAACACTTTGCCCTGTTTTAATAAGCTTCTTTATTTACTCCGGATAGTGAACATAACAGTGTTCAATAGTGAAGTAAGCAAATTTTACACTCACTATTACTGCATGGATAGAAAGAGCCATATGCATTTTTGTTTTTATAAGTTATCTCAGATCACTGCAACATGGCACATCAGAACAGAGATTCAGACACACAATGTTAATAAATGCATTTAACATCGCCAAGCATTTAAAAGATAAATGCAATCATGTAGCAAAAAAAATCAGTTTGTAACTTTGACCTTTCTCAGAGATGTGAAGAATCATTTCACCTGTCAGAAATCTCTGTAGCAAAGATTCCTATAAGAGAACAAATTATGCTGATTAACATTTTCAATTCAACTTTTTCAACATGTGTAACAAATGTATTCTCATAAGTCTATCACTTTTGCTAAATTTAAGAGTCTTTTTCAGTTTCTATGAAGGAAAACAAAAATCAATGTATTTTTTTCACTCAGTTTTCACAAACTCTGCTATATTCATACTATAGAATACTATTCAACAATTAAAAGGGATGAACTATTGATACTTACAGCAGCTTAGACAGATCTCATGGGCATTATGCTGAATGAGAAAAGTCAATCACAAAAAGTTACCTCAAAATGACAGAATCATAGAGATGGAGAAGAAAGTAGTGTTTCCCAGGAGACAGGGAGATGAAGAAGTGTGGGCCTACAACCATAAATAGGCATAATGAGGGAGCGAATTCTTTGGTGCTGATGGAACAATTTTGCATCTTTATCACACTGGTGCTGTGTGTGGAGCGTAAAAAAAAAGTACACATACAAACTCTGTGTACAGTGCATCTAAAAACTAGTGAAATCTGAATAAGGCCTATAGGCTAGTTAATCACATTGTGCCAATGTCAATATCCCAGTTTGCAAGATATTTCATTATAGAAATTGGGGTAAGGATATGTGGAACTGTCTGTACTATTTTTTGTAACTACTTATAAGACTACAGTCGTTTTATTTTTTCCCAGCTAATTTTTTGCATTTTTAGTAGAGACGGGGTTTCACCGTGCTGACCAGGATGGTCTCGATCTCTTGACCTCGTGATCCACCCGCCTCGGCCTCCCAAAGTGCTGGGATTACAGGCTTGAGCCACCGCGCCCGGCCTATTTTTAAATTATTATTATTATTTGAGACAGAGTCACTCTGTCACCCAGGCTGGAGTTCAATGGTGCAATCTCAGCTTGCTGCCTCTTCTGCCTCCCAGGTTCAAGCAAATCTCATGCCTCACGCTCCTGAGTAGTTGGGATTACAGGTATATGCCACCACACCCAGGTAATTTCTGCATTTTTAGTACAGATGGGGTTTTATCATGTTGGCCAGGCTGGTCTCAAACTCCTGGCCTCAAATGATCCACCTGCCTCAGCCTCCCAAAGTGCTGGGATTACAACCAGGAGCCACTGCATCCGGCCATGACATACTCATTTTTTAAAAGTACCTTTGTACATCTACATTATGGAATACCACTCAGCAGTTAAATGGGTAAAGTCAACCACTAGAGGCTGCATACTGCATGATTCTATTTATATGACAACTTGGGAAAGGCAAAACTAGAGGGATGGGGAACAGAGCGGTGGTTAGAGGAAAGTACATTCAGTGTGATATCTGTTGTTTAGATAATAAGTGGCAGTCAAAGGGCACCATTTGAAACTGACAGTAAAAGGTTAAGTAAGAAGAAAGGTGATTAAGAGCACTGTTAAAAGTATTAATAGAAAGATAACAACTAAAATAAAATAAAATCTTCCTAAATGCCAAAAGAAATTGGTTAAGAAACAAAGAAGACTGACCAAATGAAGAAATAGAACAAATATCACATAGTACAGACAGTAATTATAACTGGGTTGAGACCATTACTATTGATGTGACATAACAGTCATATCAATAACGTAAAAGATTTTAACTCATCTATTTTATTTATACTATTCTATTCTATTTTTGAGACAGGGTCTCACCCTGTTGCCCAGGTTAGAGTGCAGTGGCACAATCATGGCTCACTGCAGCCACGACCTTCCAGGCTCAGGTGATCCCGTCATCTCAGCCTACCAAGTAGCTGAAAATACAGGCACGTGCCACCACATCTGGCCAATTTTTTTTTTTTTTTGTATTTTTTTGCAGAGATGGGTTTTCACCATTACCCAGGCTGGTCTCTAATTCCTGGGCTCAAGCGATCTGTCTGCCTCAGCTTCCTAAAGTGCTAGGATTACAGGAGTAAGCAACCATGCCCAGTTTAACTCACCTATTTTTTAAAAAGATTTTCAAAATGGCTGGGTGCGGTGGCTCATGCCTATAATCCTAGCACTTTGGGAGGCTGATACAGGTGGATCACCTGAGGTCAGGAGTTCGAGACAGCCTGACCAACATGGTAAAACCCCATCTCTACTAAAAATAGAAAAACTAGGCTGGGCATGGTGGCTCACGCCTGTAATCCCAGTACTTTGGGAGGCCCAGGCAGGTGGATCACCTGAGGTCTGGAGTTCAAGACCACTCTGCCCAGCATGGTGAAACTCTGTCTCTACTAAAAATACAAAAATTAGCTGGGTATGGTGATGGGCACCTCTAATCCCAGCTACCTGGTAGTCTGAGGCAGGAGAATCACATGAACTTGGGAGATAGAGGTTGCAGTGAGCCAAGATCACACCATTGCACTCCAGTCTGGGCAACAAGAGTGAAACTCTGACTCAAAAAAAAAAAAAAAATCACAATGACTCATGAAGCAAAACTCAAATCCACACTGTATATAAGAGATATACTTAAAATGTAGTTACTCAAAAAAGGCTAAAAATAAAAATATTTACGAGGTAAATAGAAACAATAAGAAAATAGAAGTTGCAACTCTAATACAAAAGTAGAGTCAAGCAAAAGAAAAACATCTAAATGCATCTGAAAAGGATATGTTATAAAAGCCACATTCCATGATGAAGAGTGACAGTTCAGAATATCAACGCAACAAATAAAACAGCAAACCACCTATATAAAGCAAAATTTAGAGGAATGCAAAAATAAATGAAAACATACTAATAACAGGAGACTTTAGAACACTACTGTTAATATAAAACAGGTCAGATACCTTCTTCATGAACTAGAAAAAACCACCTTAAACTTCATATGGAACCAAAAAAGAGACCACATAGCCAAGACAATCCTAAGCAAAAAGAACAAAGCTGGAAGCATCATGCTACCTGACTTCAAACTATACTACAAGGCTACAGTAATCAAAACAGCATGGTACTGGTACCAAAATAGATATATAGACCAATGGAACAGAACAGAGGCCTCAGAAGTAATGCAATACATCTACAACCATCTGATCTCTGACAAACCTGACAAAAACAGGCAATGGGGAAAGGATTCCTCTTTAATAAATGGTGTTGGGAAAACTGGCTAGCCATGTGCAGAAAGCTGAAACTGGACCCCTTCTTTACACCTTATATAAAAATTAACTCCAGATGGATTAAAGATTTAAACATAAGACCTAACCCCATAAAAACCCTAGAAGAAAACCTAGGCAATACCATTCAGGACATAGGCATTGGCAAGGACCAAAAGCAATGGCAATAAAAGCCAAAATTGACAAATGGGATCTAATTAAACTAAAGAGCTTCTGCACAGCAAAAGAAACAATCATCAGAGTGAACTGGCAGCCAATAGAATGGGAAAAAATTTTTATAAGCTACCCATCTGACAAAGGGCTAATATCCAGAATTTACAAAGAACTAAAACAGATTTACAAGAAAAAAATAACCCCATCCAAAAGTGGGTGAAGGATATGAACAGACACTTTGCAAAAGAAGGCATTTATGCAGTCAACAAACATATGAAAAAATGCTTATCATCACTGGTTATTAGAGAAATACAAATCAAAACCCCATTGAGATACCAGCTCATGTCAGTTAGAATGGCAATCATTAAAAAATCTGGAGACAACGGATGCTGGAGAGGATGTGGAGAAATAGGAACACTTTTACACTGTTGGTGGGAGTGTAAATTAGCTCAACCATTGTGGAAGACAGTGTGGCAAATCCTCAGGGATCTAGAAATAGAACTACCGTTTGACCCAGTGATTTCATTACTGGGTATATATCCAAAGGATTATAAATCATTCTATTATAAAGACACATGCACATGTATGTTTACTGTGGCACTGTTTACAATAGCAAAGATTTGGAACCAAGCCAAATGCCCATCAATGATAGACTAGATAAAGAAAATATGGCACATATACACCATGGAACACTATGCAACCATAAAAAAGGATGAGTTCATGTCCTTTGCAGGGACATGGATGAAGCTGGAAACCAACATTCTCAGCAAACTAAGAAGAGAAAACCAAACACCACATGTTCTCAGTCATAAGTGGATGTTGAACAATGAGAACACATGGACACCAGGAGGGGAACATCACACACTAGGGTTTGTTGGGGGGTAAGGGGTCAGGGGAGGGATAGCAGGGAGTGAGGAGACTGGGGGAGGATAACAATAAGAGAAATATCTAATGTTGACGACAGGAGGATGGAGGCAGCAAACCACAATGGCATGTGTATACCTGTGCAACAATCCTGCGCGATCGGCACATGTACCCCAGAATTTAAAAGTATAATAATAAAAAACATCAGATAAACAAATATTAAACAATGATACAAAAGTTCTACAAAAAATGAAAAAGTGGAGGTATTTACACCACAAAAATTGGCAAGTGCTACAGACCAGGGCTTCCCCCTCCTCTCCTTTGGGAAGCCAGTTTACCAGCATGCCACTGAGCTAGCCTTACAGAATTAAAAATACCACAAAGCCTCTATAATTAAATAGTGTGGGACTGCACATGAACAGACAGATCAATGGAATAGAAATAGAAAGTCCAAAAAGAGATCTGAATGACTGGGACAAACAGTCTTTTAAATCAATGATCTTAGAACAACTTGATAGTCAGTTGGAATAAGATAAAATTAGATCAAATTCTCAAACCATATATAAAATAACTTCAAATGAATCAGATATCTAAATGTTAAAAATAAAACTATACAAGTACTAAAAGATAACATTTCTCTACTAGCTGGGTAGAGAGAAAGATTTGCTAACTATGAATAGAAATCCAGATGCATTAAAGCAAAAGGTTTAAAGTCTGACTACACAAAAATAAAAACTCTTCATACAGTAAAAATAAAAGACAAATGTCAAAAAAAGTGAGAAAATATTTGTAGCATATATCACCAATGAAGAGCTAATTTCTCAAATTTACTAAAAGTTTTTTTTAACAAAAAGATCAAAGCCCATTAGAAAATAGGCAGAAGA